TCCATTGCCGTCTTAAATAACCTGACGAAAGCGTTATACCGGGAAGAAGTCCCTGCGGCTCGATAGTGAATCGTCCTTGAATCTGTATAGTATAGGTGGTGGCAATTTATAAACCGGTGAGTATCATTGGTCCACATTCTGTTTAGTCACCATAAAGCAATGACCGCAATGGTTCTGATGGTTGATTTAACGGGAGTACTTTAACTTTGATCCCTGGTGCCTCCGAATCGACAATTTTTAGCAATAACTCGACTCCAGCGCCACTAAAAATTGTCATTAAAAAATTATCATTAAAATCGTTTCGGTTGTTAAGCCACCAGAATAAGTCTTTTACATACTGACACTCTTCGACATTTTTTCCCATACAAAATTCGTTATACGGAGAAACTGCGCAACATCATCAGCGAAAAAAATTCTCAAAAGTCAACGGTCAACTACATTTCTATAAAAAATTAACAAAAAAATGTATTACGAAAAAAAAAACACTGTATTCTGGGTATATATATTTAAAGATAGGTAAAAGTTTCAATATGTTTGGAAAGCGCCACGTCCCTTTTGCAGTATGGGTGATGCCACGCTCCATTAATATATCGAAAGTCTGCAGTAGGTGTCCAAAATTTCAGAAAATCGGTACAGTCCTTCGCGAGATCACCTCTTATAAAAATAAGGAGCTTCTCTTTATATAATTAGCGTAGGTAACACAGGGCAACACCGATTTTGATGCGGCAAATGTTGAAGCTGGTTTTGATAGGCTTTTTTGTGCTGATTAAGAATACGTAAGTATAAAGTAAAAAGTGTGGTGAAAGTGTCAAAAAATCGCGTTTTTTGCAATACTTGAGAAGCTCTAGCAACGAAACAAAGGGTGATAGAACCTAGGCTTAAATTAAGGCTTGGACTTCTGACTTCAATACCATTCCTGCACCTTGACCCTAAGGTTACCTGTAGTCATTTATTGAACAGCTAACACTGATTTTTACACCATTTTTGACGACAAAAAGTAAATGAGTATAGGTGACCATTAGGACAAGGTGCAGGAATAATACTTTCAGAGATGGTAGTCTGTAGTTCTAGCTTTAATTTAAGTCTACGTGAAAGGTTCTATCACCTTTTGCTTAATTGCGGTAGGAACTCAAACTTCCCAAAATCAGTTATTCCTGTTCAACAAATGACTATAAGTGACCATCAAGCAAAGGTGCGGAAACTTGCAAGGATAGTGTTCGAGATTTTTAGCTTTAATCAAAGCCTAAGTGAAAGGTTCTACCACCCTTTGTTTCTTTGCTAGAGCTTCTCAAATATTGAAAAAAAAACGCGATTTTTTTACACTTTGACCTCGATTTTTCTTAAAATCTGGATCTGATGGAAACTTTATGCTTGCGGATTCGTAATCAGCACACAAAAATTCGGCAAAAATAGCGCTAACATTTGCCTCATCAAATTTTTCCCATTTTTGTTGGCCTGTGTAATAAGTATTGTTAAATAGCCAATACCCGCATGTTTGCGCCGCCTTCAAACACATTTCGAACTGTGAAACAATGACTCGATTCTATTCTACGCATATCTATAATACGGGTATCGAATTTCGAGCAAATTGGACCATAAATAAGCTTTTTTGGAATTGATCGATATCCAATAAGCTACCTACGTGCCAAATTTCAAGAAAATCAGACCACAAATAAGACATTTTCGAATAGATCGGTCCCTGGCCCACTTAACGGAAAAACTGAATCCTATATACTAATCTAGGCAAAGGGTAACCAACGAACCAAATGCATTTTTTTTAACGTAGCTCGACCCCTGCGCCACCTATCGGAAAAATTAAAGTTTTGTGCACTCCTTTTTCTAAACACCTTTCCAAAAAAGCAGCTCCCATTCGAATCAGTTATGAAACATAGGAGAAAATTTTTCCCAATTGATTCAAGCTCCCAATGAATTTCACAATCATTCGAAATTTTCCAAGCTTTCGTCGAAAAAAATTCAAATTTTTTGCGTTCTTCCGGATTTTTCCGAGTTTTCCTCTTAGAATTCTCTATTTTTCCATTCGAATGCCATTCCGAAGGAATTGCACACAAAATTCCAAACAAACAAATCTATTTTCGATTTTTCCAATTTTCCGACTTTCCCGGAGGGTTTTCCGAAAATTTTGTAAATGTAAAATGTTTTAGATCCATCCCACACCACGGACTTTAGCGGCCGCCGATTTAGTTGGGCTTGCTAGTCTCTCCATTGCACCACAACTAATTGGTCGGAGCGATTAAGTTGGTGTAGTGTGCGCACCTCCATACATCTTCATGTACATATTTCAAGCGAGCCCTACTATTTAAATAGGCGGCCGATAAATTCTGTGGTATGAGGTGGCTCCTATAGCTGCATTATTACATCTATTCCGTGTGTTGCAATATCCACGGAAGCAGCAGTTATGAAGAAAATGATTTTAGAATATTAGATAAATTCTCTACTTATATGTTTGACTTTCCTTTGTTTTATTTTACCAACGTCAAAAGCTGGACTTTTTTTTGAAAAAGTCGGTACAACAAAAAATACGAAACACGTTTTCTGTCAGATAGCTAACATGCCGGATAAGAAGAAGAAGTGAAACTACCAGGAAAAAAAGAATCTTAATTGCTAATCTAGGCAAAAAGCTAACTACGTACCAATTTTAAGTAAATCGGGCCGGAAAAAATATCCTATATGCTAATCTGGGCAAAAACTTACCTATGCACCAAATTTTAAGCAAATCGGACCATAAATACGATTTTTTCGATTAGATCGGTCCTTGGTCCACCGGAGGGTTTTCCAAAAAATTTTCTTTCGTAAAAACCTTCTCCTGGCAATTACGAACAACTGAAAAAACAATTAGCCAAATCGGCCCAACCGCTCTCAATTGATGAATGACTATACATTTTTCACACTATTTTTATATATATAGATTGCCAGTTTGAAGTAACAAAATTTACCCTTAATTTTTGGCTTTTTTTGTTGAACAAGTCGTCTGAAACACTTTGTATGGAAGGAAATGACTGACACCGTCAAAAAAGAAATTGCCAGAAATCAACGGTTAATCCTAGTTACTTCTAACTTGCACTTTCATACTAAAATTGAATGGGCTACAAGGTCCTGTTTTTAACCGACTTCCAAAAAAGGAAGTCGTCGGAATATTTTTTTTTTTTTTTTTTTTTTTTTTAT